TCATACTTATTATTAAACTATTTGTACAACTTAGTACACTTGCTAAGGAGATAATTAGTGTGCATGTGTGAAAAAGATTTTGTATAAAATTTACTTATTTAAAACTTAACTTAACCCTAAAAATCAGCATGTGAAGTGATAGTTGTTTCTTTCTTATATACTTATTATGATCATCTCGTTAACCGATATGAGATATCCAACATATGATTCACAGATAAAGATAAAATGTTTTCAAATCTTTAAATAACAATTAGCACTAGTACAAAAATTACTTTTAAAATCAGGGTTTTAAAATCGGTTAAAAAGTATCCGATTTTAAAAGTGACGCGGTGACAATTTTATAAATAATGACACTATTTTTTAAATCGACTACCTTTTAACCAATTTTAAAAGGTCCCTGACGCTACTTTTAAAATCGGTTATTTAAGAACTAATTTTGTATTTAGTATACAAAATCAGGTCCTAAATGAACGATTTTAAAAATGCTACTTTTAAAATCGACTATTTAAGAACCGATTGTGTATACTACATATATAATCGGTTCTTAAATAACCGATTTTAAAAATGTGAACGCCTATATGTTTGATCTTTCCCTCCATTCCTTTCTTTACTCTTTCGCGCTCTCATCTAAAGTCTCCAGTTTCTCATTTTCTTTGCAAGACTACTATATCAAGGTAACATTCTCATTCTCTTCTCATGTCTCTAGTTTCTTTGTTGCTTTATTCTGGGTAAATTTTGAATCTAGAACGGCCCGTTCTAGAATCAGAACGTCTCATTCTGGATTGGTATTTAACTCATGACAAACTATGCTGGAACGACTCGTTTCAAACTATAGTTTTAGGTCTTTTTAGGAACCTAGAACAACTTGTTTCAATTTAGGAACGGCCCGTTCCAAGTTGGACATCTTTATAATGTTTTTTTTGACTCACCATTGCTTTATATAGACAAATTAGGTACTCAACTTAGAAAATTAGAAACCTTGTATGGAAGATGTTACAGATATTGTGAATATATTACAGATATTGTGGATACATATATTATGGTTATTATCCTCACTATCAATTAGGGATATGATTAGATTAGTTTCCATAATATTAGAGATTAGTATCTCTATCATTTATTGTATTCACTCTATAAATAATATTGGTATGTGTACAACAATACACACAATTCCTGAATCACAACATGATATCTAGAGCTTAGGTTCTTTTCTTTTAGAATATATTTTTTCTCTCTTCTTGCAAAGGCCCTCGCTGCCACCTCTAGTCGCCGGCCGCTGCGCCGCCGGCTGCTGCCTCCAGTCGTCGCACCGCCAATTGCCTCCTTCGGTTGCTACCTCCAACCGCAGCCTCCGGTCGTCGTGCCGCCGGTTGCCGCGCTGCCGACTGCCACCTTGGGTCGTCACACCGCCGCCACTGGTCGCTGCCTCGGGTCACCGCGCCGGCAACCGCCACCTCTAGTCACCGCATCGCTGACCGCCGCCTCTAGTCGCTGCCTCTAGTTGTCGCCTCCGACCGCCACCTCTGGTCGCCACGCCATCAATGACTGCCGCCTCCGAACTCGCTTCCAGTCACCGACTCTGACTGTCGCTTTTGATAGCCGTCTCCGACCGCTGCTTCCGGTCACCGCTTCCGTCGCCGCCTCTGACCGCCGCATCTAGTCGCCAACTCCGGTCGCCGCTTCCGGTTGCCGCCTCCGACCGCTGCCTCCAACTGCCTTCGGTGACCAGTTAGCAGATGTGTTCACAAAATCGCTTAAAGGACCTCAGATTGATTACATTTGTAACAAGCTTGGTGCATATGATATATATGCTCTAGCTTGAGAGGGAGTGTTACAGATATTGTGAATATATTACAGATATTGTGGATACATATATTATGGTTATTATCCTCACTATCAATTAGGGATATGATTAGATTAGTTTCCATAATATTAGAGATTAGTATCTCTATCATTTATTGTATTCACTCTATAAATAAGATTGGTATGTGTACAACAATACACACAATTCCTGAATCACAACAGAAGATGACAGACGACCTAAACAAGTCCCTTGGGCTCTTGAAGTGTTTGGCTTCTGTAGTAATGTACCCTTGTATATAAGCCAGAGCGACATATCAGAGATTATAAACGGACATTGTATGCTGAAAATATCAATTTTGCAAGTGGTTATTGTAAGTATTTGAATTAATTTTAATTTTGTTTTGTTGCTTTTTTCTAAATTTATTTCTAACCTTGTAGATTTATCCAAAAATTGAGTGTGGATAAAGGGAATGATCACATTTATGGATTTTTGGAACCCGAGTTAATCAAAAAAATTGAGAACAAGACAGAAGAAATCCAAGCTTACATCCAAAATTGGATGTTTGACTCAAATAAAAAAGTTAGCTCCTTACTTTTCTAAGTAAGTCTATTTATATAAATTGATTATAAATTTTTAAAAAATGTATTGTCTATTACTGATAGTTTCTCAATGTAATGCTTATTGGCAACTTCTGATTATTTGCCTATGGATAATATATCTGTATGCATTTGTTCGATGCACAAACCTCCTCTTGCGGACTTTAAACAATTATTAGATAAGTAAGTTATTTTAAAAAAAACTACTTTATTTTATTGATCATTACATTTTATTTTAAAATATAATAATGATGTCCTTTTATCATTAAGGCTATGGAAGGATACCATATACTTAAAGGTTCAAAGTTGAAGAAAAAAATGTTTTGGATCTCTCTTAAAGTAAGTTATTTTATTTTAGTAATGATATTTTTTCTAAGGTATTTTCTTTTGAATAACCATTACTACTAAAATTGATTTTTATATTCTTTTTGTAGTCTCATAAGCAAAAAGGAAACTATGAGTGCAGATACTATGTAACGAAGACAATGCATACTATTGTTAATTTACAAATAGTATCTGGGTGGACTGAAGTACGTTTTAGAATTTTGAAAATTTTTATTTTAAGTTTGCATTTTATCAAATATTTTATGAGTTACTTCTAATTATTCTAAATTTTCTTAATAGATTTTTATAGATTGATCATCATTGTCGCTAGAAGATATAAACACCATTAGGGAGCTAGCAATGGACTACATTTTTCATTGAAACATTGACTAGCTACGAGTTATGTTTATAGTTTTACTCATTTTGTAGTTTAGGATGCATAATAGTTTGTAAATTACTTAACTTATTATGTACACATTTATGCATTACATGTATTTTAAAAACATTTTGATTACATATATGGTTGACATTTACCAATTTTTGTCATTTGTATGTAATTTGGTCCATTGAAAACATATGAATTGTCTGGTATTTTATTAATTTGCAGGTTTTGTTAAGGAATCCTTTTAAAATAAGTTAATTATTTTAAAAAAATATTAACCACTTTTAACATCGGTCATGCCATAACCGATCTTGAAACTTAGACTTTTAAAATCGGTTTATGCATGACCGATGTTAAAAGTTCAACTTTTTAAAATCAGTTTTTTTAAAATTAGTCAAAGAACTGATTTTAAAAGTAAAAAATATCAATTTTAAAAGTATTTTTTCCACTAGTATAATCTCATCTTATTATATTCGGATAATGTCCACAGCATGCAATCATGCTTAAATTCAATTAAAAATTCAAGAGAATGGACCCCATTAAAAAAAGATGATAATATAAATTGATTATTAGTATATTACAAATAAATTATTGTACCGTAATCTCCACCGATCTTTTATTGCTCAAGTGCTTCGCACTGGTCATTCAATAAAAAATTATGTTGGATAATGCATGTATGTGTTTTACTTAGAAAGAAGAAAATTATGGTGGTGTATTTTCCTACAAATAGTAAAATTAAAGTACTTGAATAAGTTTAATAAAACAAATCAACAGCTGTGGATCATTTTACGAATGCATTGAATATTTTCCTCTTATTCAAATTAAATCCAGTATAGAAGAATCGATATGTGAAACACTAGAGTGGCAGACAAAAGATTTTGTGGGGTACGCTCACTACACCAAAATTAATTTTTTTTGTAATTAATTTATTATTTAGTAATTATATAAATGACCATTATTTTTTTATCAGCATTTAAATAAAGGCTGGTGTATTCACTGTCGCTAATACTATTATTGGCATTTATATAAAATGTTGGTAAAAATCTACTAAATTGTCAGAAAAATTTATTTTTTTAGTGGCAATTCTAGTAGTCATTTTAAAGGCTATTAAAAGTTATTTTTTTCAATTGTCTCATTTATTTTAAATAATTTATTCCTATAATTTCCTTTTCTAAATTCACAACTTATATACTTTTTTTATCTCTATTCGATGAGGTTGTCTTTTATTTATATATTTTTTAATTTATTTTTTTAATTATTTTGTCTCTTAAGAAATGTGAGATTTATAAGGTGAAAGTTGCTCTCTAATTATTTTATAGCACTATTGAATTTGGTAATAATGGGTGATTTGATACCAATTTAGAATAGTAAATTAGGAGTCAACCCTATAAAATGAACCTGTAAGGTGATATTTATTACTCACTTATATACTATTTAATTATCTTATCTCTAATTGACGTGAGACTTAAGTTTTTTATAATAAATAATTGTCGTTAATAGTAAACTTTAGTGTAATATAAATGCATTTTTAGTGACTATTATATATTAACCATTAATATTTTTATATATGACAGTAATTAAATTATTACTATTAAATAATTATCGTTAATAACAAATTTTGTTGTAGTGGCTATAATTTTCAGCCAAATATATTCACACTATAGAGAAGAGTGCCAAAGGTGATCAATTTTCCTTTTACATTTGGCTTCACGCATGTTGTTACTCTATAATTCAGGGACATGAAACAAATAAATAAATTAGTAAAGAAAATGCTTACAATTTTTGTTATGTAATTTTCAACCAGCATATTTTTGAAAATGATATTCTTTTTTGTATCCTCCAGATTCCCATTCTGATGTCACAGTCTACTCAGGAATTTAGAATAAATTTTGTTGGAATTTAATAAAGAACATGATGCCATATCAACATGCATTAAGAATCACATTCAACTAGCTGACCAGCTATATTTTGTTTGAGAGTTTGTGAACAAGTGCAAGACAGAAGATTAGTTTTCTCTTAAAAGCTTGTGAATCACGTGAACTAGCCCATGACTAAATTCATGGAACAAAGAAGTGTTTCATATGTGCCACACCTTTTCATGGTCTTAGTCCAGTTGGGTTATACCCTCTTATATTTCATCACTGAAGCCTCGTTTAACCATGGGATGAGCCCTCATGTGTATGTAACCTATCGACATCTTGTGGCTGCGGTTGTGATGTTCCCTTTTGCATACTTTCTGGAGAGGTAGATATGCATTTCTCTTCAAGAGTTGGTCTGCATTTGCATGACTCTCTTCTAATTGTGGCATGCATGTGCTTGTTGATTTGATTTATGGATGCTCAAAAGAGTGCATCAATGCTTGTTTTATCCACTCTGCTGGTTGCATTTTAAATTCAAATTTAGCATTTGCACTCCTGATTAATATCAGTTTATTTTAACAATTGAATTTGGTATGACCTACAACTTTTACCATGTATCTGACTATATCCTTATTGCAGAAAAGCCAGACCAAAGCTGACATTTTGTCTTTTCATGGAAATTTTTGTGCTTTCTCTGTTGGGGTAAGGACAATGCATGCTTCTACATTTCTACACCATAGGGAAGTAGGGAAACTTGATCGACGAATTGTAGGAGCACGTTCTCTATACTTTATCTATCGACAAATGTATTAAATTAAAATCACAAATTTTATTAGGTTTTGCTACTAAATTAAGAGAGACTTTTTTAATATCAAGTAAGGTTCACTAAAATTTACTAATAAATTGTTGATTCAAGTGATATTGAACTTCTCTTTAATTAAGATTTCAAATTGAATTTTGTGTATGAAAAAAAATAATTGAAAAGAAAGAATCTACTAAAAATATGATTGATTGGTCATCAATATTTTTTGATAAAGATTAATCATTCGTAGATTCATCTTACCAATAATATAGTTACAAAAACATTCTACCAAAATTTGTGATTAACACTAAGTTTTGGTTAACAATAGAGACTAAAGAAAATGCTAAAAAGAAATTGTTGTTAGCATTCTTTAACTTAATTTGTCTGACTTGGAAAATTTTCAGGGTTAGTGTGACTGTTAATATATACTTTGCAAGCCTGAAATACACAAGTCCGACCTTTGTTGCTTCCATGATCAACACCATAGCTTCCCTTACCTTCATCATTGCAGTGGCACTCGGGTTTGCTTAATTCTTGATTGACATGAATTTAGAGATTTTATACACAAGTCATTATAATATTTACATCCTTTATTTTATTCTTAAAGAAATGAGTTAAATGTAGGTTTGAGGTTGTTGATCTTCGAAATCCTCGCGGTTTAGCAAAAGTTATTGGGACCGTGATCTCCTTAGCTGGTGTTCTGATCATGTCACTGTACAAAGGACCCGTTATGAGAAGTTTATGGCATCCACTAATCCATATTCCAGGGAAAAGTGCTGCTATCAATGAAAGCTGGTTAAAGGGTTCACTTCTTACAGTTTTAAGTTGTGTTACATGGTCTATGTGGTTCATTATGCAGGTTTTCACCTTAACGCCGTCATAACTATATATCATATGTTTTATGTGTATAATTTTTACGCCATGCATGAAGAAAGGGCTGACTCCAATATAAAAAAAATTACATATATAGTTGAAGTAGTGGTTTCTATTCTTATTGCTGCTTTTGGCTCTTGGACTAGAAATTATTACTATTCTGACATCATGTGATTGTGGAAATTCAGGCAGCGACTTTGAAAAGATACCCTGCGCAATTGTCACTCACCACGTGGATGGGCTTTGTTGGAGCAGCACAATCAGCTGTTTTCACAGTGATAGTAGAACACAACTCTTCAGCATGGTCTTTGGGTCCAAACATTGACTTGTGGTCCACAATATACGGTGTTAAGTATAATATAATCAGCGGATATAGTCTACAAAATCTTTTACCAAAATCACAAGTATAAAATTCAAAGTTCTAACAATATCAACCATTGGCAGGGAGTTGTCGTCGCTGGTTTGATCATCTACGTCCAACTATGGTGCACTGAGAAAAAAGGGCCAGTTTTTGTCACAATGTTTAACCCTCTTAGTACCATATTGGTGGCGATTCTGGCCTACTTTGTCCTCGGAGAGAAACTTTACTTGGGCAGGTATTAACCGCTGCCATATAATTTTGATTTTCTTTTCAAAATTATAAAGCATGAAATGCGGATAAATCTAGTTGTAACATGAAACAATTCATTTACATCTCTTTTAAGACTCGTCTATAATAAGTCTTTTTCTGTCCTAAAAATTAGCAATATGTAAGGATTTATATGTAACAAGAAATATAATTCTGAAATTTGCTTCTCATGAATCTTCAGCATCATAGGTACATTTGTTGTCATCATTGGTCTGTACTTGCTGTTGTGGGGCAAAGAAAGTGACCAAAAGGTTTGTATGAAAACCAAAGATAAATCGCAGTGCGGTGCTGAAGATCTAGAATGCAGAATATAGTCAATAAGTGTGTCCAAGTGGGAAGAGAACAGAAGATGAAGTCATGAAGCTTTCTTTTCATGTTTTGCCAAACAATTAATTTGTAGAAAACCCGTATGTTTGTTGCTTTCCAATTCATCTGTAGTTTGGGTGCTTGGATCTACGTTATGTAAAAGTTGTATTATTAGCGTCAAATTCTCTAATTTCTCAAGATCCAATTGTTTCCGATTATCTTTTATATTTTTTTGGAAATATAAAATATGAGAATATTTATTTTCACCTTTATTAAATCATCATATAATAATATTCTTGAGTATTTTTTATTTTTGAAAAAGTGATATTTCAATGAATATGAGAATGTTATTTCCATGATAGAGAGATAGATAAGTGAGATTTTCATAGAATATTGGAGGTTATTCTTTTATAATTCTTGTAACTTTTATTTTTATTTAAATTATTTTAAATTTTACAAAATTTTCAAGAAATGTTGAACTAAACATCCTTTTTATATTTCTTAAATAATATATTAAATCATATTATTCTTGAAAATATGAATTCCAAAAATATAATATCATTTCTTAAAACATACGTACACATTTATACAATGGTTTCGTAATCCATATTTTATTTTTGTTTGATCATAAAAAAATTACAAAAACAATAATAAGGTTTCAATTTGTCATCGATATGAACTCAACAATTCCAGTGATTTTAATTCATATTTTATACAACGGTTTACGAACTTTTTAAAATTAAATTAATTATATTTAGTGGTGTCATCCGCAACTGCACCATTTGCAGTTATTGTTCAACTGCAGAAGATCCGGATCCAGTACCATGAAGGAAGAAATACAGATCACTATAAGGGTGTGTTTTTTAATGAGTTGCCCAATTTTTTTTTTCTCAATCATCTTAAACTAATATTTTTTTTTCTTCGTTTACTTGATTTTTTAATCTATCATTTTATTTTTATAATAATTTAAATTTCAATAATTTATTTTAATAATTAAAATAATCTTTATTATAAGACTAAATTATATTTTTAATCTCTATTTTTATCAATACTCAATTTTTATCTTTCTTTTTTAAAAAAATTCATTTAAATTTTATATTTTTAAAAATATAAAATTTTGACTTTATTATTAATTTAAAGTTTATTTATCATTAATTTTTGACATAATATTTTAGTAACGTAATATATAGAGATAAAAAAAAACATAAAAAATTTCTATTATATTTATTTTAATGAGTGATAAACATTTCTTTTATTTATAAATCTTATTTATATAATTTTTTTTTATATTTTCTTTTATCTCCAATTGTCATATTACTAAGTGTTATTATGCACATTAAATTTGTACCTGCCTGAGGGTACACTCGTAATCTTCAGGGGAATATGAGGACCGAACGAGAGCTTCAGGTGGATTCTTCGGAGGGGGAGGTACCTGCAAAAGATATTCCGACGCTTAAGTCAGTGTGAGCACGATTTTCTAGGGTAATAAATGAACAGTGACATACCTTGTTATGTGTGACCTATTTATAGCATCTGACATGGGCCTGAGCGTGATGGGCCCTCTCAGATATTTACCAAATTAGGTAATACGGTACTAATTGGTCGTTAGGCTTTAATCATGTACTTACCTTTCTTAATTGTGATTACCGTTATGACTTGTTTAACCCTTCGGCAAGAGGCCGAGCCGGCTATTCAATACTAGTCGGAACGGCAAATGACCGAACCGTCTAGTCCGTATACGGCAGCTTGTATACTTCCGGTATGATCTATGTCGGAACGGTACTTGACCGAGCCGACTCGATGAGTGATGATGGTCCATATTGGCATTAACCAGACTGATGTCGGTTCTCGGCCTCATGCCGAGCCGACGTTGATGGTGATGCTTGTACGTGGCTATGCATGAGTGTCTGACGAAATGGCACGTGTTGGCCCACGTGACCGATACGGTCTCTCCGGTACAAAATTTAATGAATAATAAATGTCAACTTGTCAGAAGATTGAAATTTCATATTTTTAAAATTAAAAAAGTTAAGTGTCTCTATTTTAAAAAAGAGGAACTAAATTTACACATTAATAAAAATAAAAGGATAAAAATAAAATCTAACATTATTATAATTAGTGATAACAACGTGTAATTTTAGATTATTATTTACGTAGCACCCAAAAAATAATCTCTTGTTAGGTATTATATATTCATACATGCACCTGCATAAGATCAATTATAAGTTAATTAAAAAAATTGTACAACTGAATTGAAAAAACATTTTTAAATCATCCAAACATGTACATACAACATTGAGAACATAGTTTCCACGAGACAACCAACAATGACGAGGACAAGGATCTGAGAGTGCACTCTTGATTGGAGGCTACAACGTTGAACAAGGAGAAGGACTATAAAGTTTTTATTATTTAAGCAGCTAGAGCAAAGAACATGAAGTTGGTTATGATTAGAGAGAATAATGGATTGCGGGCAGTGTAAACACAGTCGATTGAGATTCAAATTGCGAATGTTTGTGTCTCGTGTTTTTACTCATTACAAGGGGGTGTTTCTTTTGCTTCACTTCATCTTTTATTCTCGATGGTATAAAAGTTGAAATATTTATTTCTATATTTATTAGAAGGATGAGCAAAAAAAAATCTTAATATTTCTTTTATTCTTAAGTTACATTCTCATTAGAATAATATAAATTTTAAGTTTGAACTCTGAAACTAATTTTTTTTATTGTAATTCTTATTGTTAAAAAAAAAACTAATTTTTATCCTTACGATTAAAAGAGTAAAAAAATGAGACATTCTTGTGAGAATATGAAAATTTATTTTATATCATATTTGTAATTTTTATTTAAATTACTTTAAATTTAAAAAAAAAATATTTTTAAAAGCATTAAAATGCAACCACACATTCTTAAATTATTTATTATTGTTCTTGAATGCTTTATACGATAAGATGAGAGCATGAACTAGCTGTATGTCAAGATAGAAGAATCATATTTTTTTTATTAATTTTTTTACTCCTTTCTTCCAAGTCCCAATTTGCCTCTATTACATTATAAAATTAGCCGACTAACTGCACAAGAGTGAGTAGGAACATGACTTTATACTGAAAATAAATTGAATAAAGAAAACGGCCACCAATCAATAAAAGTTGAACTAATTTCTAGTGCAGGGGATGCCTTTTCGAAATTAATCAAAGACCAAAAAAAGAAGTGCTTTCCTTCCATTAAAAGAGATGAAAGGACAATGCAAATAAATAAGCCCGGATATCCATTGTATAGAAGTGAAAAAGATGATCAGATTCAGATATTCAATTTGGCTCCAAGTGTGATTCCACTCTATAGTTCAGATCCCACTTGTCAGGAGTTTTGGATGCATCTTATGGGAATCACCCATAACTTGTATATTATATTATATTTGTTTGTGATGAGTATCTAGGGAAGCTTGTGAATAAAGTGCAATCATTAAACTAATGGAACAAGAAAGATGGTCCTTTATGATTATATGCAGAGATTTCAAGCCACACATGCTCATGGTCTTAGTCCAGGTGGGTTATAGCATCTTATATCTCATCACTGAAGCCTCCTTCAATCATGGGATGAGCCCTTATGTCTATGTAACCTATCGACATACTCTGGCTGCTGTTTTCTTGTTTCCTTTTGCATACTTTCTCGAGAGGTACATGTCCATTTCTCTTCAAGAGTTGGTCTACATTTGCATGACTCTCTTCATTGTGGCATGCATATGCTTGATTTGATTCACGGATGCTTTAAAGAGTGCATCAATGCTTGTTTCATCCATCTCTGGTTGCTTTTCTGAACATTTGCACCCTGATGATCAATATAAATTTATTTTAAAAATTGAATTTGTTATGATCCTATAACTTTTATCATGTATCTGACTAAATGCTTTAATGCAGAAATGCAAGACCAAAGCTGACATTTTATCTTTTCATGGAAATTTTTGTGCTTTCTCTGTTAGGGTAAGGACAATGCATGCTTCTTCGGTTCCTCACCTTGTGTGTGGAAACTTGATTTGTCTAACTTGGAAAAGTTTCAGGGTTAGTTTGACAATTAATATGCACTTTGCAAGCCTGAAATACACAAATCCAACCTTTGTTGTAGCAATGCTCAACACCATACCTACCCTTACCTTCATTATTGCAGTGGTACTCAGGTTTGTTTAATTCTTTATCTACATGGTTTAGGAATTTTTAGACCGAAGACATCATAATATTATCATTTGATTCCTAACACAAAGAGAGTTGAGTTAATTGCAGGTTTGAGGTTCTTGATCTTCGAAATCCTAGAGGGATAGCAAAAGTTTTAGGGACCTTGATCTCCCTAGCTGGTGCTTTGATCATGACACTATACAAAGGACCTATTATGAGAAATTTATGGCGTCCTCTAATCCATATGTCAGGAAAAAGTGCTGCTATCAATGAGAACTGGTTAAAAGGTTCACTTCTTACAGTTTCAAGCTGTGTCACATGGTCTATATGGTACATTATGCAGGTTTTCACCTTAACTCAATCTTAACGATTTACAATTTGTGTAGATTTTATATGTCATGCGTAAAGAAACAGTTGGATTCGATATGAAATACTAAAAGTAGATAGTTTAAATAATGGTTTCCATTTCATTGTTGCTTTTGCCTCGGTGTAATTGGAAATTATAAATTCTGATATTGTGATTGAGGAATTTCAGGCAGCCACTTTGAAGAGATACCCTGCCCAATTGTCACTCGCCACGTGGATGTGCGTTGTTGGATCAGCACAATCAGCTGTTTTCACAGTTATAGCAGAACAGAACCGTTCAGCGTGGATTATAGGGCTCAACATTGATTTGTGGTCCACAATATATGGTGTTAAGTATAAATAAGCAGCTGATAAAAGAGCACAAAAAATTTACACTAAAAAAGGAATTAGGAAACCAAGAGTTCTAACCATATGAACCATTTATGGCAGGGAATTGTCGTTGCTGGTTTGATAATGTGTGTTCTATTATGGTGCAACGAGAAAAAAGGGCCAGTTTTTGTCACAATGTTTAACCCTCTTTCTACTATGTTAGTGGCATTTGTAGCCTACTTTGTCCTTGGACAGAAACTTTATTTGGGCAGGTAATAACCGATGCCTCATCTTTACAAAATTACAAAGCAATAAACTTTATTGTATTCTTTGGAATGAGAATTATGGTTCTGAAGTTTGCTTCTTATGAACTGATCTTCAGCATCGTAGGAGCATTGGCAGTCATCATTGGTCTGTACTTGCTTCTGTGGGGCAAAAGTGAGCAAGAGATTTCCCAGTGCAGTACTGAAGAAACAGAATGCAGAATATAACCAAATACACATCCAAGTGAGAAGAGAACATACAATTAAGTCATGGAAACATTTTTGTGCAAAACCAACTACTCGCTAAGGACTCTTTGCTTTCTAATCCTCTCAAGTCATACATCAACTATGTAGAATTCATAAAATATTTTTTACACAATGATACAAGTTATCATACCTGATGAGCGTAACCCGATATTTTGAAAATCAAAATGGCCATTCAACCTGTGTTGTTAGTTTCAAGTTTAATCGTCTAACAGTAATTGAATTATCATGGAACTTATAATTAAATAATATTTTTTTGAAATTTTAATTTTATATGTTAAATAACATAATATTATGTTTGTATTTTTAAGCATATTTATATTAAGTTCTAGTGTAAATTATATTTTTCTCGTCTAAAAAATACAAATATTACACTATAAGTTAAAAATTATAATTTTCTTTTTTTTAATAGATTTCTATATATAATATTTTACCAATTTTTTTTTTAAATTTTCATTAACTTCTATTAAAAAAAATTATTATCAAAAACACCTTTCATTCTAACATCTCTTTAACATATATAAATATTATACTATTTGCCTTTCTTATGCTAAAATAAATATTTTTCTCTTTAACAAATTCACATATGTTACACTTTAATAATTTATATATTTGATTTTTATTTTAATTTTTTTAATAATTTTTGCTAAATTAATTATATATTTTAAAAAATATTTTTCATTATTAATTTTACAAAATCATGCAACCTTCAATATCCAGTATAAAATGAAATGTTCTCCCGGAATCATAGGAGCATTTGCAATCATTTAGGGTTGTCAAAAAAACTGAACTGAACTAAACTCAAATGGTGGTGAACTGAATTGAATTGTACTATAAAAAAATGAATTGTTTGTAAAAAAATTAAACTGAACCGTTTAAAAAAAACTGAACTAAACTGAACTATTAGAAAGTTGAACTGTACTGAACTATAAAAACTAAACTAAATTATAAAAAATAAACTATTTTTATAAAAGGATAAAAATTAAATGTGTCTAACATGTTCTGTCTTAATAGATTAGCTCGATGATAATGTTAATTTTTACTTACATTCTAGTAGCAAATTGGTTAACACATTCAACTCTTTTCTAACTTTTGACTTTGTAATCTTCAATTTAACTTCTCTTTTGTAAGTAAAGACACTTTGGTTACACATACAGGGTTATACAGATTTAATCCTCATTTTTTGTGACTTTTTGGATAGGTAATCATGTGGGAAGAGGCCGTGTCAAAGAGAAGAAGCTCGATTGAACTCCAGTGAAGCTAGCTGGCAATTCCAGAAGACCCGCGCTGAGCCCATATTCTATCTCGCTCAGCGCAGTAGATCCAGGGCGTTGGGAAGGTTGACATCGCGCTGAGCGTGCTCAACCTCTCGCCAGGCGCGTTCAGTTATGCGCCCGGCACGTACCATTTCGCGCTGAGCGCGTCACTTAAAGAATTGCGTGGCTTGATATAACTTTTGGCTGAGCACGAAAGGAAGGGGTCTTTGGAAGGGGAGACGAAGGGAGAACAGAACGAGGTCGAAGGAGAGAAGCTAGGGCTCATATTTTTGACCATTGTTTCTCATTGGTTTTCTTCCATTCTTCCTCTTTTGATGTATCTTGCTATTCTCATGGACATGGATTGCTAAAAACCTCTTTGTTGGGGTTAGATGTAGCCAACTTGACTCTCATGTAACTTGTTGAATATATATTTATCTATTTCCTTCATTCAAATGTTAGTATCATGTTCTTGTGCTTAATGCTTGTATGGAATGATCAACTATTACATGATTTTTGATTGCTTTTGGTGTGGGAATATCATTGGTAATCTTGTTTTAGAATGTGGTACCTTGTATACTTGTGTCTAGGAATGGAACAAGAGCTACTTGTTGTGTGGAGCCCTTTAACTTAATGCAAGTGGATTTGTTGAACCATTCAAGGGATTGATATTTGATAATGAAACTTAGGCTCTTTTAACCAAGGAATTGGAATTAGAGAAAATTAGTGGGCTAGCATTAATGTTTGAATGAGAAGGAATGTTTTGTATGCATGAGATTAGAGTTGGTGAAGTCTAACCCTAACATTTCACTCATATAGTCAAGTCCCAAAATTTGCATTTCAAGTGTTTGATGAAAGTCCTCTTTGAATCATTTTACTCTTTTTAGCTTAAAAATTACAACCCATCAAATATGAAATCATTCTTTAGTCTATATTAGCTTAAATTCCACATATTGTCATTGTATTACTCAAGTCCTTTGGGAAGAACGACTATTACTTCTACTTACTACTTGTGCGATTGGTTCACTTGCCATATTGAAAGAATTCGCTTAACACTCGATAGTCTAATAATCAAAACTTCGGAAAAAAAAAAAAGTGATCTAAAAAAAATTGTTTCAATTTTGTCGAACCTAACAAATCAATTGAGTTATGTTGGGTGACTTATTTTTAGGCTAAAAAATCATTGAGTTTGTTTGACCCAATTTTATATTTTTTTTCTTTTCAAAAATTTAAATAAAATGAAAAATAAAGTAAAATTGGCAAATTTGTCCTATCTTGACAGACCAATGAGTCAAAATTGTTCAATTCAAAATATCATAACAGTTCAGTGCAGTTTAAATTATAGTTTAGTTCAAGATTTTATAGTGTAGTGCAGTTCAGTACAATGACACAAAAGAATAGTTCAGTTCAGTTCGTCTGAACTATCATGACAGTTCATTGCGTTTTAAATTATATTTTATTTCAATATTTTATATTTTATTTCATTTCATTACAATGACACAAAATAATATTTCATTTCATTTCTTCTTAACTAATATTTAATTTAGTTCAGTTCACGAGAACTACTTTTAAGTTCAGTATAATTTTTATAACTTTAGTTCAGTTCATTTTACTCACCTCTAATCATCATTGGTATCTACTCGCTACTGTGGGGCAAAAGTGAGCAAGAGATTTTGCGGTGTAGTACTGAAGATCCAGAATGCAGAATATAGTCAACGACTTTAGCTGGAAAGGAAGAAGTGCACGTCCAAATGAGAGAAGAAAACATACAATTAAGTCATGGAGATTTGTGGTCGTGCTTTGGCCAAACATTTTCGTGCAAAAACAACTCTTAGCTAAAGACTTATTGCTTTCCAATCCTCTTATGTTAGACAAAGTTAACTAAGTAGAATTTTCACACAATGATACAGTTATCACAAATACAAATTGTGTTATTTGATCATTATTATTCATCCCTTGGTGAGAAATAATTTAGAGGAATGTTGAGAATAATCGGATGAAACTAGCCTCATTGGAAAAGTAATTTAGAGGAAAGTCCAGTATTATTGATCCCTTGGAACAGTAACTATTTAATAGTGTTATTTGATCAAATATCAGAATGTTGGTACAGTATTATTCATCCCTTGGTGAGATGCAATTTAGAGGAAAGTAGAGAATAATCAGATCACATTAGCCTCATGTTTTAATTTGTCAATCAGCTCATCCACAGAAGAAACAACAACTCCTGCTTTTCTCTTGGGCGGTTCTGTGACTTGAACAATCTCCAAATCAGACTTGATTTCCACATTCAACTCCTCCGGAGTGAATTTTTTTATGGGTTTCGACTTTGCTTTCATTATGTTGGGAAGTGTAGCATATCTTGGTTGGTTCAGTCTCAGATCAGTGCTGCAAGAAGAAAAGGCTCAAAATTTATATATCAACAACGGGTTTAAAAGGAGGGAGAAAAACACAACTTGGTAAATCACCAATTACTTCCCTCCTCAGGTCTCATACTACAGAGAGAAAAAAGGGGGGAGGGGGGAAAGAAACTAAAACGACAGATACTTTTCTCTCACATTTCTTACTTATGGGTAACTTGGAGAAATTTCATTGGTGAGTGAGTTGTTGAGTAGATGAGATTATCAAGAAATGTTTCCAAGTCATCCATATTTATAGCAACCATATGTGCAATTATCAATATCCAAATATTATATCTAATGTACTAACATTCATGTAACACATCATCAAACTTAAGTAATCTGTAATCCTTAGTATAGTTTTTGGAAATGCAAACGAAATTTTATGTCACTGCTCATTTGAAGAAGCACTTTGATTCAAGTGTATAAATCACGTGGTTATTTTTTGTGATCACATAAGTTCCAAAGCAATGTTTTAATCCACAAAATTCATCCCCATATCATTTCTTTATAAATAAAAAATAAATAAAAAACAGTCACATTGGTGCTGCCATTATTATGCTAAAAATATATATACTACGACCATAAGTTGCTAAAACTAAATTAGTTAAGGCACAAAATGAATTACATAATTGTGCAATTAGTTCAATACATTTCTCATTCTCCAAAGGCTGCAAGAAGCAGGTAGTTGCCTTAAAATTCAGAAAACATTTAGCATCCTATTATACTTTCAGCATGGTTGCTTGATAAAAGATAATCTTATATGAACAATCAAGATACTTGATACAATTGCAATCATAAAGATACACATCCCAGAGAAATTTCAAGAATAGTTTTAAGTGAGTCGCAATATGAAGAAGACGGAGTGCTAGTTTGCAATGTTAAACAAGCAAAACAATTCATGCTTGCATTCAGAAATTTGGTAAAGGGCACAATATTTCATTATTTGGTGATAATCGTGCAAAAAGTAGAAAAAAGAATAATTGTGTTGGAAATTACATAATAATAATAATAATAATAATAATAATAATAATAATAATAAATATAATAATAAGGGTTCCACTTACCACAGTTGCCTACATACATTGTAACTTATGTAGAGTTAGAATCAATTATTTCTTGTTTGTAATTTGTGTGTGGTGTTTATAAAGTTTGCAAATTGCAATCACGTATCTTATGACTGAGTGCATTTTCACTAGCTTTACACCACAAGTAGCCACTAAACTATTATTTCCTTTGATCTCAAGTAACTATAAAACTATATCCAAAACATGAGAAAACACAGCATCAAAAGAAGATTCTATGACACTTACAATTTTAAACATCCCCATGCAAAACAATTTAAAAGAAAAAACTACAATCCAGTACTAAACTACATTTAACATGATTTTTCATTTTTTTCAATCACTCCAATCAAAATAAACCAGCAATATTATTCAGAGAGAAATCTTTGCTAACCAATTTTCGGAGAAAGATAGCATAGACAGGATTTTAGGTAGCTTGTTTCGGGATCCAATGAGTTAATTTGAATTTCAATTATGAAAGAAATGAAAAGAAAGTGGCGAATCAAAACAGAGAAAGGAAAATTAAAAGCATCTTAGTCACGACTATGTGCCACAGATATACCCCAGTGAGAGCAAGAAAACACAAAGCTTCTTAAAATTATACATAGGATGGATGCAGCATGCTGAGAAGAATGCGAAACTCACGTTATTACTGCTGGTAAGTTCAGACACACTGTCTCGATACCATCAGCAACCTCTCTGTCCACCGTGGCTACCTGTTTCTCTTTATCAAGGACAACCTACTGGAAAGCAGAAGTTAGTTATAAAATAAATTGACATTTTAGCCTAAAATTATTATTCAAATCTTCAACACTGAACTGCAATTTTTCTTGGGTATATGCTCAAAGTCTGCTGCATGTGCCTACTTAATCAACAATTAAGAAGTTCTACCACATGAAAGATTGATTGCTCTAATTCAAACCTTATATGCAGATGATGGCAATGAAATGGAGTAACTAACCTTTGAAGCAAAAGTCCCTTGAGGCCAGTTGAGGAGTCCTGCTATCATCTGCCCTGTTTGATTGCAATCATCATCAATAGCCTGAAAAATAAATGTTAACAAAGGATTGGGATGAGTTGAAGCACAAACTTCATCTCTAACAAACATAAGATAGGAAATAAGAAAAGAGCTGAATCCCAGATTTGGAAAAAGAAAAACCTGTTTGCCAAGGATGAGAAGACCGGGGTTCTCAATCTGGACGAGCTTTGTGAGAATCTTTGCGACAGAGAGAGGGTAGAGGGAAGCAGAGTAGTCGACGTGGATGCCTCTGTCGGCTCCCATGGCGAGACCCGTTCGGAGAGTGTCGACGGAGTGAGAGGGGCCGATGGTGACGGCGACAACCTCGGAGGCGGAGCCGGACTCCCTGATGCGGAGGGCCTCTTCGAGGGCGATCTCGCAGAAGGGATTCATGGACATTTTCACATTCTGAGTCACCACCCCTGTCTGCAAAACGGCGTCGTCTTCAGCCGTATTGTGACTTGTGAGTGCAAAGGGTGAGTCAGTGTGAGTTACTTACCTTGTCGGGGTTAACCCTGATTTTGACGGCGTAATCCACCACTCGCTTGATGGCTACCATTATCTTCATCGTCATCGTTGTGCTGTGTTGGAGTGCAAACCAATGACTTTGCTCGTAATGCTAATGAGATTCGACCCTTTTTCTTAAATTAAATTCTCATTCAAGCTGCACCTCAATTTTACCTATTTTTTATTATTTACAAATTTTTAAATTAAAATTCTTTAATTCTACAATTGGATTGGGTCATTAAAATTAGTAAAATCATCGTACCCGTCATTCTGCTGTAAAATTCTTCAATGATTTTGAAAGAATTATCCTATAGAGTTGATGCAGGAAATCAGCACAATATCCTTATCCTCATCTTCATCTTATAGATGGGAGCCTGACTCAGTAAGATGATCCATCTCCTTATTTTCAATCAAGTTAGATTGAATTTTTTACAGACTAAAGTGTTCGTTATGATAATTGTATCTTATCTTCAAAACACGTAAGAATCTTAATTATTAAAAGTATTATTATGGTATGGTGTATAAATAAGATTAGATGAGATATCATTATTATCTCAAACATCATATAAAATTATTATATCTACTATTTTAGAAGATATAGTGTTATTATTATAAATAAAACTATTTGAGATGTCATTATTAAGATATCTGATAAGTTTTATTGATTATAACTATTATTTTAGATAAGTGAGATATCATTATCGGGACATATAATAAACTTTGTTAATGGATTATTATGTTATAGTTGAAGACATATTTGGTTGAGTGAAATAAATATTTTTTTCAAAAATAAGTTTATTTTCATTCTCTCTAAAAAAAAACATGAAGTCATACATAGATGCAAATATCTTATATTCATTTCTAATGAGAATTTTGTGCACTAGAAAATTTGTAATTTATAATTCAGTTTAATAATCCTTTTGTATTATGAAAAATGTATATAATATTTGTATTGACACATGATAATGTTATAAAGAGTTTAAATTTGTCTTAAGAAAATATATGAAAATAATTAAAATTTAAAATTTGAATATAAATTAAGATCGATTAAAATTATAATAATATTATTTAAAAGAAAAACAATATATTTGATTTAATATAGTATTTAAAATAATAAAAATATAAAGTTAGATACTTAATATAAAAATTTATTAGGTGATTAAAGGAAATAAAAATAATTGCTAAATATTGTTTTATTTAAATAATAATTCAAATTTATAATAAAGTGTTTTTTTATATGTTTTATAGCTTTGTATTTGTGCAGAGCAGGCAGCAGCACATGGGTTGCCTTGCCCTGATAGTTAATTTTTCAAACAACACAATCTCCTTTTATGTGTGACGTTGGTGGCGTTGCAATTCATCTTATCCTACACCTTAGCGCTTAGTAGTTACTATATTATTTTAAAGAAACTAAACGTGCATTATATCTCCAACACCTTTCCACCCTAATAATCTCTCATTTTTCACATTCAATCTGCTATGTTAGTGTGGAAAAAGAGTGTTATACTTGAATGCTTGAAAAATAAAAAAATTGGATAGATGAATCTCATCATTAGATTTTTGCCTTTCCCTATTTCTAAAAAGATATTACTCAATAAACACTGGTTACTCATGCATGTGTTACTACTTAATTAAAATTCAAAATTAATAAACATACAATGTGTTGCTAATAACACATACTTTTCGTAAATTACAAAATTTTAACTAAATTGTGTGTTGCTAGTATTTTTTTTTTTTTTTTTTAAGAAAATAGGCTATATAGTAATTGTAAAAATTATTTTTATATTATTATTTAATCACAAATCATTATATCATATATTGATTGATTATTACAATAAATAATTAAAAGTAATACTAATAGTGAATAATAATCGATGATATTATAAAAATATTTTATATTATTAATGTATAACCATTAATTTATTTTTAAATATTACTAAAAATATAATATTTTTATCTGTTGAATATTTGGATATAAGTTGTTAATGTATAAAACTCAAAGTTAAATTATTCAAGTAATATCTGAATTTGATTCTTCACAAAAAATAATTCTTAATTAACTTTTCCTTATCATATAACTAAGTCAGGTTAGTTCAAGAAAATATCTCAGAATACTAATATAAAATAATATATATATATATATATATATATATATATTATTTTAAAAAAAAAAAAACTAAATTTTATATCATAGACATGCGATTTTATTTTTAACACGCTAATTTATTTCTGAATCATGTTTCGATCATCACATATTTTAAAATTTTAATTTATTGTTAGATGCATTGTGAAATTTTCTGTGTGTATCTCACATAATTTTTTTTTAATTTATGATACTTAAAAAAATTATGTAAAAATAAATAAATAAATGATGAATAATGTTTTTTATTTTGTGATATATAATGCTAGTATATTAATTATTTACTTAGTTTATATTTTAAATTTATTTTTATTATAATTTTTAAAATTTTAAAATGAGATAATATTTTATAAATATTTATGTATTAATGTACCCTAACTATAAAATTATGTAAAGTGTTCATTAATGTATATATCCAAATAAAAAAAATAAATTTTAAATACTTGTCATACATAATAATATTTTATTTAAATAAGATCTTAATTAAACTAATTTTTTAAACGGAACTTGAATTCAAGGTTTTCTGGTTTATAGAATTAAAATATTGTACGCGTAAGCCTAAACAGAACGGGATCAAAGTACAAACTTTGGGCTCATGATATATACACTTCCTTTTTTTTATAAGTACACCTCCTTTTAAAAAATATATATATATATATATTATAATTTTTTTTAAAATTTAATTTTATACTTTCAACTTTTAATTTGCTACTTTCTTTTTCTTATTCACACTTTTTTTTTTCTCTTCCAATTTTCACATGTTACCAAAATAGGTGGGGTGAAAGAAAAATAAGAGAGTGCATGTAAAAATTGAAAAAAGGAAAAAAGATGTGTGAAAAAAGTACTAAATTAAATGTTGTGGATGTAAAATTAAAAAATTTAAAACAAAAAATTAAGAATATTTTAAAATTTTAATTATTTTTTTAAAAAAGATGTGTACTTATAGAAAAAAGGAGGTGTATATATCATGAACCCAAACTTTGGTAGTAAAAGAACGATGATGAACCTTCAGGTGTGAGGCCCATTTTGTATGAAGGGTGCGTTCGATCAAAACCCAAATACAACACAAATTAAAAGGCCTGCAAAGCCCAACCATGACCTGAATAGCTAAGAACCTTGCACAAAACTCTATATCCAAACAAGAAAATTGTATTTGTTTTCACCATTGTAAAAAAATAATTAACACAGCTAATGGAAGTTAAGGAATATTTTTCATCCATGATTAAAATTAATGAAATTGTATTTGTTTTATTTTAAAATTTTAGGGAAATAATTTTTGAAAATACAGTTTAAAATGATAGAAATGTAAACAATAGACATATAAATGAAAGAAATAATAAGTTAATTACATTAAAAAAAATGAAGTAATATATTTAAAAGTTTTGAAAAATCATGAAGTAGACAAAAAAAAAACCTTGGAACAATTGTAATGGAAGACTTTTTATATTATCTCAAAAAGAAAAAAGTTAATTCCTGTATAGACTATAGAGTAGGAGAAAAAAAATTACATTTTTTTTATTAAAAAAAAAAAAGTTCAAGAGAAAACTTGTAATAAGTCTTACTCAAAAGGACTAAGGGGATGATTGAAAGAAAATGAGAATAAAGTGAAATACGTTACATGAATAGAATTACCGAAACAAATCTAAAATAAAATCACGCATTCACAATTTATTTATATCTAAACCTTGTGACTAACCGAGGTGATTCTAGGAATTATTGTTTTTATATATTCTTGTTCTTTTGGGTAGAATATTCTTATATACTCCAAATCCAAAGTAAGTGAAATTGAGATGCCTGAGAAAACGATATCAAATCTTGCATATACTGTGTGGTCCTATTCCAAAAACATGTATTGAAATAATTTTTTGCATCCATGTATAGTAGAAAAAATGTCGAGTTGCTTTCAAAAACACAAGACAATGGAGGCCCCATGATGTTGAAGATAATTTTTCCTCTTTTGGGGATTAGCTTGTGTGAACTTTTTGTTGTGTTTTTCCCCCTTACCTTTTTGACAAAGATGTAGCATCTCACGCGTTCCTGAAGTGTGCAACAGATCTTGTAGCCCCTGCCCATCCATACGTGCACATGGCCTTCAAAGACTCTATTATGAGAAAGAAGAGAAGGGGATTGCTTTGGCCAAAAAGTTCCCACTGCTTTATTTTGGAGTGAAAGTTCATGTGAAATAAAAGAGGTAAAATATCCTATCAGCATTCAATTTAACAAATTACTATGTGCAGACAAATATTTGGTAGGGCAAAATCATAACTACAATGATGATTGGTGAACTACTACCACCAATAAATTTGGCTCTTCTTTCATTAGTTAATAAAATATTTCAACCGCAAATTAATCATTGATTCTTACAAGCTGGAAACTGTGGAACCAAAAAGCATCACCAAACCAACCAAATATGACCAAACTTTCCTTTCCATCCACCAGCATTACAACACACTGTGTACACAAATATAATTTCGGTGGTTGTATACTGTTTATCAATGAAAAAGGACCACACCCCTTTTAAAATAACAACTTTGGGACACCTTCACCTATTTACTTTAATCACCCTTGGATTCTCCATTTTGGTAATTGGTCGACTTTTCCTTTTCTTTTCTTTTTTTCTTCTTTTTTTTGCTTCATTTTCTACCGTTACTTTTACTTCAAAGCCAGATTTGCTTACTTCTCTTTTTGATACACCTAGAATAAGACATGGAATAACATAACTGATCCATAGCGGGAAAACTTTTTCTTTACAAAAGCTAACATAAGATGATTTCGGCAATGATGCTCATTATCATGGCTCCATGCCTTTTGAAGCAAGGTATACCAAACCACAACATCATGCCATTTTATACACAATACAGAAATACAGAAACATACACAATACAGAAATAATGGCTTCAAGTTAAAATTAAATCCAATTGAATATTTGTGTGTCATACAATCCTATGACCTGTTCAATGTTCATTCATCTAACATCTCTATCTCAGCAAAAAAATAAAAACCTAAGAAACTTGCAAGATGCAAACATAATGGAAGGGGATGACAATAGAAAAATTTCAGGGATCCAAAGAAAGAGGTTGCACAGAACTCCTGGATCTACTTCCATGTCCGAAGGAAAAGAATGATCTTTTGACTCTACCACTACTACCACTGCAGCCTTCAATGGTGCTGACCTCATTGACTTGCCTGTTGTGAAGCCTCAGAGCTTCTTGAACTGCTAAATAGAACTGTCTATCCCCTGAAGAGTCCATGGAGAAAGACCTTCTGATAGGTTGGACTGAGAACTGCTCATCTTTGGCTCTAATATCAATACACTCATCCCCCATGCTTGTCACCTTATGCAGTTTCATTGCTTTCTTTGATGAAGGACTAATAAGGCATGTTGGTAATGGTAACTCCAAACCATTGCCTCTTTCTTGCAAATTTTGGCTTCTATCATGGTCATTACCCAATTCAATCACAACAAAATCTTCATCACCTCCAATGAGGTTTTGCCTTGGAGGGTTTTGATCCTGAGGGGAAGAAGGCCTTAGGGTGAGAAGCTGATCAATGTGGAATCTGCTTGTCAAGGAAATGCTTGTTCTACAAAGAGGGCAATTGGCATTGCCCTGAAGCCAAACATCTATGCAATCAATGTGAAACACATGGCCACAATTGGGTATAATCCTGAGCTTCTCATCTTCTTGAAACTCATTCAAGCAAACAGCACATTCACAGAATCTTCTCTCTTCTGTTTTCCCTTGTGTTTTGTATTGAATCACTGGAATTAACCGGATCAGTGCCTCATCTAGTCCACGAGATTCTATGCCCGGTGAGTATATTGGTGATGGATCTTCACGCCTTCTGGATGGAGAGAAACGTCTTAGGACATCAATACGGTGCCAATTGAGGCAGCATTTGATGACAAAGATGTAGTAGCTAACCAGCAAGAAAGCTGTGGCCATTATTCCTATTATAGCAATTGCAATGATGGGAAAACTAGTGCTAGAAGAATGCAGATGAGGGTGAAAGATTGAACTCCCTGGACTTGTGATTGGAGAAAGTTCTTGTGCTTGTGATTGTGACTGTGACCCATGTTGTGACACATAAATCAAGTATCTTCTGCTTACAAGATCCATACCAGATGTTAAAGATAAAAATGCAGATAAATTGGCTCTCTCGGATCTTGAACATAAACAGAACACATGAATAGCAGAACTAGGCAATGTAAGAAAATGAATAGCACTTTGATGGAAATCTATAGCATGTGTGCTACTTGGGGGTAGGCTATGAATTTGAATGAGATGTGAGTGAAGAAAGTTAAGGAGTCAAGTGGATGGTTGTTATCCAATAAAGAGAGAAACTAGTTTTGAATGAATGAGGGTTGAAGAGAGAATTAAAAGCAGATTGAAGAGCATTAAAGCAATGAATAAAGGAGGAGCATGGAGAAGGGAGAAGAGAGGAAACCTAGGTGGTGTTTAAATGAGGGTGAGGGGGACAATACATTAAGGTCCTGAAATTCAATGAAAATGTTGACAAAAACCGGTTTTCTTTATTAAGGTTGGAGGGGGGAGGCTTGGCTCAGAGTACGTAGTTGGTGAATTTCTCAGAGTTAGGATAGAAAATTGTTCAAGTGTCTCGGACACTGCCCCAATATTTTATGTTACAGCAGCGTATCATCCAATTTTAAATTGGACTTTATAGAATGAATGACGGTCCATTATGAGTGATACGGCTTAACAAGTCAAGGAACAATGCCGGATCATTGCACAATGTGTTTATTGCCATTGCCATTCAATTATAAATGATTGAATACTTTGAATTTTTGTGGTTTTATCATTATTTACAAGCATTAGCTATAATACTCTTTGAATCATTTCACCATAACTAATCAAGGAGCGTACAAATAATTCCGTTGTGTCCTTAAAAGAGACCACTGTTTTGAAGGGAATCAAAAATAGTACTTTTTCTTCCAAATAATTCCCGTCCCTTTATATACAACTTTATTTTTCCTAATATACTAAAACTTCAATAATACAGGTTAAATAACCTTCAAAATCATGTATCCTACCTTGATGTAAATAGATTACTATTATTACGTAAAAATAATACACACAAATAATCTTACTGAAAGAAATTTGAATTAATATGAATAAAATGGTTGCATACCGATATGTACCATTTATATTTAGTACGGATGGTAGACTACATACTTAAATATCCACTTATTATTTTATGGTACAAATTGATGGTAATTAATGTGTTGAACTAAAAGGCACCTTCAGAATTTCCTGGGTTCTGTTTTAAAAAGTGCTTGTCCCCACTGGAGAAAAGAAAATTTAGATGAGAACGTTAATGATAATTGCTCTTCACATTCAATCATTCACACGTTATTAATCCAAAAATGATCAAAAGCATTATTAACCCCCGCACGCACATCGATTGGAGTTAAAATAATAAAGTAGAAAAATTACATGAACATTGAAGTGAATTGAACAAGGTTAATGAAAGATTTAATATGCAACACAAGGTTAATGAAGCAAAAAGGGTGATTGAGCTTTGAATTAGATACATCCTCATTCAATAATGATGAATGATAATTGATAAAGAAAATGTGTGACGCTGCACCCCACATGCAGCCCACCAATTGAGTCCTTAATCAAAGGGGTTGACCATGGATGGAAGATGTTGACTCTGATCAGTGTTTGGCACTTTGCCCCGCCTATCTTATTTGAAAAGCTTTGGCCAAATGAAGTCTAGTGGTGTATACGTTAGGGAAAAAACTCTAGTGGGTCCGAATTTCCTGATACAGTGTCTTATGCCAAAGTCAAATATGTGTGCAGTGGATAAAAGGTCCAGAACCGACACATATTCACATTTTGCTTGTTGACAAGCATTGGAAAAATATCAACTAATGTGAGAAAAAAAACACAGACACGGTTACCCTTTGCTTTCCGAGTTTCAAAAAGTGTTTTCACATTAGTCAAAGGTTGAGGCCTATGTATGGCGTCTCAAAGAAGAAACTTCCCCACAACTTTTGGATAAAATTAACCAATCCTTTGAAAATCTTAGTCCTGTCCAAACTTGGCAGAATGGGAAAAAATTAAAAAATAATAATAATAAAATAATAGAATCTCCCCCCTTCTCTATAGTGTATGTCATAACTTTCTCAGGTTGGGCCTCATTTCAATAGGGTATGTAGCATCTTCTCAGCTTTGGTTAAAGCCATTGCGATACTTACCTCACAGATGAAAACTTTTTGGTTACCCCCTTTTACACGCACAACTTAAAAAATGCACTTTATTACGCTAGTACAATTCACGGTTTCTACTTTCTAGAATGTATGCATAAAATATATGCGTGCTGGAAAAGCTTAGTCAAATTAATTAGGTGAGAAAAAACCTTTTAATGTGTACAAGTAAGTGCCTTTGATGTTAGCAATTAAAAGAATGGAAATGAATATCTCATTTAAAAAAAATGAATTGGAATATGAAATTCGATTATTATACATAAAACACGGTTTAGTTCTTCCTTGACCAGCTGGTTTCACATTGGGGAGAGGGAGAGGTCTAATGATCTCATCTAATGTTGCATATATAATATATAGTTCTTTCATTGAAAAGTGGCATACAAGATCAGAAGAGGCAGTGGATACTGATACAATTGTCAATTTCTAGGTTGAATATGTAGCATATGACTAAATTTCTTAGCAGATTTCATTTTCACATTTAAAATTATAATGCAAAGTCTAGCTTGGTCTCGAAGGTTGTTGACTGGATTTTGTGATGAAAATTTTTGCCATTTAATAGGATGGCAGCACATGTGTCCCCGTAGTTGAGCAGCTAGTTAATGGGTTGTATGTTTACAGTGAAATATTGGACCACCTGCGTTGAAGGAAAATAATAGTTGTGTGACGAGAAAGAGGCACATGGACATGGTAAGGAACCAACAGCTGTTAATAGACAGTTTACTTGGGAATAGAGCTCAGGACACAAAGTTTTTTTTATAAAAATATTTAAATTTTCACAATAATTGTCCCTTTTCTGTATTTAAGGTAAGGTTGCTACTGGGACTGGGTTGTCTTGTTAAATTTTAATTGTTTGATGTCACTTTTTTTGGGGCTTCTACTGTCAAACAAAATTTCTTCGCTTAATTATAAAAAAATATTTTGATGCAAGAGTTAGTGATGAGATGATACATTTAAAGATTAATTTCTTAATTTGGTTCTTGTTAAAATAACTACTTTTTATACATCAAATCAATTTATTTTCTTATATTCATAACTTATTTTAATAAATTTAAAAAATATAAAATTATTTTGAGTTTTTTTATATATAAATATCTATAATTGATAATTTAAAAAAAAAATTGAAAACAATATAACATTCATTTTGGAAAAAAAAAGTTTTAATTGACATTATTGGTTTTTTGGTTTTGAAAAATAATATTTACTAAAACTTAAATTTGGTTCAAAATTAATACAATATTTTTTTATGAGCATTAATTTGGTATTTGTTACTTAACTTTTTATTTGAATTAAAAATATTAAAAGAAAATAATCTCTTATTAGAAGCATTAAATTGTATTGAAAATGTTTCTTTTTTAAATTACATTAAAAAAAATTATAATCATTTTTATTGTCAAAATATTTTTTTTCATTTTTTTAAATTCAATTTGAGATCAATTATGTTATAAGATATTAAGATGATGATGAAATGAATTGTCAATAAATAAAATGTTGTAATTGTTTGGTTATTAATCCTTAATTTACAAATTTGCAATTAAAAATAGAATAAAAATAAAAACTAATTAATAAAATATATTAGAACATGATCCATAAATTTTACATAAGGACTCAAATTATCTAGATACAGGCTGTGGTCGACTCTAATCCTAAATTTGATTATCATACTTTAATTAGTAGTAGGATAGTTTTACCAATAAAACAAATTAAGACGAGGTAAACTAAACATCACTATTTATTTATCGATACAGGTAATAAGAGATAATTATTTTTTATTTGAATATTAGTTCTTAAGTACATTCCTTCGACACAACTAGAACAATTAAACGTTGAAGTCACTTTTATATATATCAAGGATTTGATAGCGAAAATAAAAATCAAGCATTATTTAAGTATAGAATAATATGGTGAAGAAGATTCGTGTTTAATACTTTTTTACCCAACACGTTTCCTTATCCACTAATTATTTACAATGATATTGTACACAAGCACAACACAAAGGTGCCTCTATTATATTCCGACACATGTTCAAAGCCTATTGTGAATTTGTAATTAACGTTTCAATCAATTTAGAGTAATTGTTTGGCACATGAGGATTAAGGAAGGGGGTAATCACATAGTGTTTCCAATTTCCATTGATTCTGAAAACGTTGGATACTCCCTTGAAAGTTGTTATCCATTTAAGGGGAATAATATTTCATTAATCCATGCTATCCATATATACTCTATTGGATTAATTTAATTATTTTGACATTAAATAAATTATCTATAGGGGTAAGAGTGCCATTAAATTATTCTTTCCTCAAACTATTAAGTATCGAAATAAAGATAAATTTATTGTTATTTTACTTATTAAAGGATTTAATTAATGTGATAAATATTTCAATGCCAACAGTAATGTCAAATGAATCTTTAGAGTTTTTTTAGTAAGTTATTCTTTGTCTATAAGATATTTTAACTCTAATGAATTGAATCCTATTAACTTGTATGAATTTCAAAGCCATAGTAAATTATTATTATAATGAATTCAGATTTTTTTTTTGCTATATAATGAATTCAATTTAAATACACTATAAAAATATATTTTTTACGTTCTCGTCTAATCATAAACTTTCATGTATAATAAAATTATTGGTTTTTATAATAAATATGTTAAATTTATGTTTAAATATATTTTTAATTAATTAAAATATAAATTATACTAACAATACGTGAAAATTAAAATATCCCTCTCTCTATATGTTCATTATCTTGATTATTTGTGCTAAACCTTTAAAATTTTATACTAATTAACTAAACATTTTAAAATTTTATACCATTAAAAATATTTTAATGTTTATATTAACACATTTTAATAACATATTAAGTAATTTTAAATCAATGCAGATTAAATTTTTAAATATAATCTAGGTTTTAATATAAATTAGCCTCAAACAAAATGATTTGTACATACAAAAGTGACGGTAAGTTTTTTTTTTTTTTTAAGATATTGAGTTGTAGGATTTGGTTAAAAAGAAAAAAAAAATAGATTTAGATCATACTAATTTCATTTGTTTTAAAATAAGGTTATTATTTGAATTATAATAGGTAAAAAGAATTAAAAGAATAGAGGGAAAAAATACATTAACTTCTAAAAAGTAGTCATGTTGTATTTTAATTAAAAAATTTGATTAAAAACATTATTTCATATCTTAATTGAATAAAATCAATAAATTAGCAATTACACTAAGGTCATTAATAATTGTATGTAATCAGTGTTAACTCAAGTCTTAGCAAAGAGTAATATATAAATCAACTAAAAAGAATAAAGTTATGTCAATCAACTCAAAAATAAATTAAGAATTTTGAAATGAAAAGGAAATAAGAATTACTTAATTTTAAAACCTAGTAATATCAATCTACTTAATTAATAGTAATAACAATGAACTTAAAAAACATGTTAAGGA